TGTAGGGGACCAGCAGATGCTGTTGACTCTGCCTGTGACTGCTGCAGATATAGCATGGCTTCCTTCTACCTTTCGATATGTGTTCCTGAAAAATATTCTTTCTCACCAGAGACTGGGTCCAGCTTGCCTACCTTTATTTTTCAATCTTTAATTTATTCAATTTTTACCAAACTACTGTTCTCATTCTTTGTTGCCTGGCATTTTCTCACCTTCCTTCTTTTCCCTATTCCCATTTCAGAGCCTGATATTAATGCAAGAACAAGACTGACTTTGTGAGGACAACTGTAATATTCACTTTGCTCAAAACTGCAGCCTGTCTTTTCCTTCTTCACCTCTCATCTTCATCTTTACAGAATCTATGGGAGGATTCTCCTGATACTTATAAACTGGCTTTTTCCCTTTTCAGTGTTCCCTAATTATTTTCCACAAGTTTATTTGCCATTTTGTTCTGTCTCCATTTCTTATCAAGACAGTTGTATTTTCATCTTCTTTTTACATGCAAATCTTCAGGTTTGATAGTATTTGAGTACTTACATTTCTATTGATTAAAACTTCCACTGACTGAAATCTTAAAACACTGAAAAAAACCCCAGCCCCAGGACTCTGCATGTACACCTCCTTTTAAAAGGTAAGAGTAATACCTATCTGAATTTCTCAGGATACATCAGTATCAAGAAACCATTAATACAATCAGGATACTGGAAGTTTAATCTTTACTAAATCAGAGTGAGAAGAAGCCATGCACCGAAACCCAGAAGTTTTCAGGCAAAATGATTTGTCAGTTGTGGTCACCTTGCTAATGTCATGCTCCACCTCGGGGCCATCACCCACTTCAGCATCACTGCAGCATAAAATGTAAACCCACAGTTAAGTGGCCTGAAACACTAAGGCCTATAAAGTTTGAAATTCTCATTTAAACTTACTGGAGACCAAGTCTGGCTTCAGAACCGACTGCAGAACTGTGCCAATGCATTTACACCATCCTCTATTTGGACTCACCCCAAGCCCACATGCAGCACAATTTAAAGGAATGTTTGGATCACCATGATAGTGTTTGCACATGGGAGAAAAAAAAACTCCTTCTGACAAATTAAGTACAGATAGAAAAAAAACTTATTGTGCTTTCTGGAAATACTGTAGTAATTTGGACTCCACCTAAGTATAACCTTTGGAAGAAACAATTTTGTCCCCTCACCAGTAAGACTATCACTAGAGAAGTAAGTCTCTGACACTACAGAGTATCAGGCTGCAAGTCTGCTTTGGATCCTAAATACTTCTCTGACTGAAACTGAAAAACAAATGTATGAGAAACATAGAAATTTTAATAATTATTTCACTTTTAAGGGACCTACAATGATCATCTAGTCCAACTGCCTGAGCAGTTCAGGGCTGACCAAAAATTATATGCATTTTGTTAAGGACATTATCAAATGCCTCTTAGACACTAACAGGCTTGGGGCATCAAACACCTCTCTAGGAAGCCTGTTCTAGAGTTTGGCCACACTCTTGGCAAAAAAATGGTTCTTGATGCCCAGTCTGAATCTCCTCTGGTGCACCTTCGAACCTTTCCCATGCATCTTATCACTGGACCCCAAGGAGAAAAGATCAGTGCCTCCCTCTCCACTTGCCCTCCTCAGGAAGCAGCAGAGTGATGAGATTGCCCTCAGTCTCCTTTCCTCCGGACTAGACAAGCCCAAAGTCCTCAGCCTCTCCTCACAGGACATGCCTTCCAGTCCTTTCACCAGCTTTGTGGTCTTCCCATGGATACACTCAAGGACCTTCACATCTTTCTTAACATTGCGGGGCCCAGAAATGCATGGTGAAGCTGCACCAAAGCTGAACTTGGGAACTCAAGTGTCCAAGAACCAAACACTATCTTTTGGAACTCACCTGTGTTGCAAGGGCAGCTTCTCTTGTAACATCTCTCATGGTACTCCTAAGTGTAGTTGTTTCTATTGACAGCAAAGGGAGACAGAGGGGAAGCTGCTGTTCCTTGCCAAACCATCCCTTTCTCAACATGGATTCAGGTCAGGTTAAGTAATAAGTTTCCCACTGGCTCTCCACCGTTAGAAAAGATGTGTTCTCCTGCACTTCCCTGGGAGGGAATTGGACAAAGCCACGGTGACATCATTTGAGGTGACACTACAGTGAAGGTACCTCTCTCACACTAGCTGGTGTGTCCAGAGAGAACAGTGGGTGCTCAGTTCATAAACTTGACCCACTTACACAGTTTTGACCTAGCAGCAGGGCACAGATCATAGTACTGAATGGCTGTGGCTCCTTACAGTAATGAGATGATTATGAAGCATTAACTCTAATCTTTTGATGGAAATTATGCTCAGTTCTGCATTTCACCTAGGTACAACGACATGGGTGAGAGGAAAAAAAAACCCGTCTGGAGCAAACTGGTGTCTTTCTAAGGGCATCTTCTTTTTTTAAAATGGCTTCCTGGGTGAAAATGGTGAAGATCTATAAAAAATGTTTAATGGACAATTTGCTTTAATTAGGGTCTAATGCAACCATGATGTCTATTGGGGAAGCACTGTGCAGAGTTGTATCCATTCCCCATCCCATAACCCTGAGCACATTCAAAGCAGAGCAGTACTACTGAAAGGCACAGCACATCCATGCCTATGCACCAAAATTTGAGCCCAGCACTGCCCTTAGCTAGAAGAAAGAGATCACTTCATCACTGATACATACCCTGCACAAGTAGACACAGAGAATCATTTAAAATAGCTTTGCTTTATCAAAATGCAGACCTGATGGGACATACAGCTAGGAAAACTTGTGAGATGTATGGTCCTGAGAAATACAGAGGAAAAATGTGACAGTCATCCAGTATTCATACAAGAGATACCATGATTACAATACTCATAAGATACTCTCAGGATCTTTCACTTTTACCTTTTCATCAACATTTCTGAATTGGGGAGGTGAACACAAAAGTATAGCCAAAGATACTGTGTGTAATTAATTTAATAGCATTACAGAACACCAGATTCACTCCTTTAGAACTTGATTAATCAGTATGTTTCTTGAACCAAGAAGAAACCCACAGGCTTCAATAAAATCTTCCACAGGAGCAAGTTTAAAAGTAGAACACATTACATCTTTTAGATTGTTGTAGTTAACTGTTTCAGTGGATGAAACAAAAAGATTGGCAGCTAGTATTTTGGTCATAAATTAAAAAGTATTTCTTTAAAACAACTATAGCAAATATTCCCTGAGAATTAAGAATCAGCAACAACTATTGCCAGATTGTTTTCTGTTACAGTGCAGAAATGTTACAGCACATTCTCTCCATTCAAAGATCACAGAGGAAGATTAAAGGCCACAGTTTTTATTTATTATGTGCATCTTCTGGGTCTGCTCATTTTTCAAGAGAATTCAATCTGGACACAGCAACCCTCAGCACTGAAGCTAACCAGGACATGAGAGGGGAGCAGGCAGTTGAGGAAAGGTTTAAACCATGTGCTGAGTGTGCATGTTCAGAATTCAACTATTTTTTCTCCTGTGCTGGTTTTCTAAACTTGCCCTCCAGACTGATAGGCTATGGCAGCATTCTGGAATATCCCACTCCCCCTATCTCCCCAGAAACATGCGCACAAAATACACCTGCCACCAAAATGCTCCACACAGACAAGTAACTTGCAGTCAAAGCAGAAAAGGGAGATAAAACAGAAGAGTGGAGTAACAATTTGAGTAGAAATAATCAATTTTAATGCCTAAAATTAGATTTTATGGCCCATGGTACTGCTGAAAGCTGCATGCAGCACAGCTTTATTGTTGCATTATTCCTCAGCACACAGAATTAAAGTGCAGTAAATGTCTGGAATTTGGTGCAGCATGCTGTGACTAAAACAGCTACTTTTTGTAATAACTCAGCTCAAGCATGGCATTCCAGGGGCAGCTTCCACTGACTCAGAAAAATAGAAGATCCTATAAGGATCCAAATTACCATATGTTGTAGAAGCAAAGTGTCTTCCTGTCCTGCCCTGTACACCAAATCAATACATGCTGATGGTAGCCCTGTGGCTACCTGCTAGTTCCCTGGCTCTTTCTCCAAGATAGCACAATCATTCTTTCCTTGCAACTTGCAGGTCTTAGCTCAGCTGAATTCTTTCTTTCATTGCTTCAAAGCATCCAGCAGATCTGGCAGTGCCTGCTATTGCTTGATCTATGAGTGGTGCAACCCAGAAATGTACAGCATTCATTAACAGGAGACTATGAAAACCTACCCAAAGATCTGCAATGACCTGATAGGCAAAAAAATTCTTGATGGCAATGATTGTTGAGAAGGGTTAACAGCAGAACAGAGACAGATTTAAGAAGGTAAAAAAAAAAGAAAAAAGCTAGCAGGAACCTAGGAGAGAAGCCTAATATAAACCATTGGGCACTGCAGTACTATCACAGTTGGATCCTAAAAGACTATTCAAAGGTGACTGGATAAGTGTAACAACTGAACATCTCTACTTGCCCCAGGAAAACGTAGATGAAAACACCAGCATGTGGGCTGAGAAGTCAAAGTGGGAATGCAAAGTACTCAACATATCTATAACATGTTGGATATATTCTCATAAGTGCAATAGTTTGGCCACACTGGATCTGCTATGCTTATATCATGCAGTTAAATCTGTGTGTATCTGATTCAAATGGTTCAGACATTAGCTCTTACTTTGGCCAGGCAGTCAGAGGTCCAGAAACACTGAATGTATGGCCATATTGCTCTTCTATTTCTTGGAAAAACTTTTTAAGTGAAAACAGAAGACAAGTCTAATAGAAGAGATGGTTTCCATATCTCTAAATCTTGAGGATTGTGATCCAATTAGTTTTGTATATATTTCATTTTTTTCCTAAGCATTTTCTCTATTTAATCAGAGTATCTTTCCACATAACTTCATCAACTGTTTTACTCAAGGAAATCTAACGGAAAAATATATGAAAATAATCTTTACCATCTTTGTGAACCAGCAATCAAAAAGGTCAAATGAATTAGCTGGCTATAAACTATGACATTTACTGTCGATCAAGAGTATCTGTCATATTGCACAAGAAAATAATGCAACGTGAGTCACGGCAAAACATATAAATATAAATGCATTTGAGTGATACAAACCTCAGTTGTCACTACAGTTCTTTACAGTGAAAAGCATTGCTCTTCTCTTCTCTACAGTGACATTATCTCCAAATACCCTGCCAGTTACTTTTATTCTTTGTAAGGAACAAGATTCAGGCCTCTGCTCTCATCATTAGCCAGACAGATCACAAAATCCTGTTGGTGACTGGACTCGATGACACTACTTGTATCTGCTATGGCCACTCTTCAGCCACGCAGTAGCTGTTGAACATTTTGCTAGTTCAAGTACTACCTGTACAGTAAACCAAACCCTAAAATCTCCACATGTTTAAGTTCACGACACTTCATTCAAGCAGCTTTTCTTAAAAACGGACACTAAGATTAGTGACACAGTTGACACTTTAGCACAAGTCTGGTTGTGGGGGAAGAGAGAAAGGTTCCTGGTCTGTCAGATCATCTTCACTTTTCCTCTAAGCAGGAACTGCCAGACACGATGGAGTATAGATCTTGACTAGTTCATCCCAAGCACAGTCCACCACCTATGAAACAAAACAAAATCTGTTTAGAACTTTCATAACTGTTATTTTTACAAAAAAGAGAGGGAAGTGCTTAAAGCATATTGTAAGTTAATATCAGTCAGTACCCCTATTTACAGTGCTTCAAAATGATATAATAATGAAATTGGCTTGGTTTTGGTTTTTTACAACTTTACTAAGATGCATGAAAATTAACAGGAAATTAAAAAAACAAAATCAAAACAATTTCATACTCCCCATGAGTATAGTGGGATATCTAAGCACTTCATGATCAGATCTGAACAAATTTCTTATACTTGCAGATCCAGAAATTTGTTATAGATGTTTCCCTAATGGAGTGCTGAGGAATGGAAAACCAAAGTTCAACAAAGTTATAAAGGAAGTTTTCTGAAGAATTAAGCCAGAATTTCAGTCTCACACTTGATAAGCTGTGAGATGACTTTTGTCATTTTTGTCTTTTGTTGGAAAGAGAGATGCCTATTTGCTGAGCACTGAGATTTGGGGGCTTGAAGCACTACCTGGACCCCACTAGCCTAATGAGAAGTGATGCCACTTGTGGCAATGGCATCTTATAAACACAGCCACTGATTCCAGTATAACTGCAACTTTCTGAATTCCAAGTCCCAAGCTCTATTCCATATGAAGTCTTGAACTTAAATCAGAAAAACAGAAGGTTAACCTAAATCTACAGTGTTAAAAGATTTCAATAAATAACAAGATTCTGTGGAAGAAAACTGTAAATGCTTCATGCTTGAAAATTAGTTGAAAATGCACTGTAGAGTCTATAACAAAGTGCAAGGGTTAATCACACTGAGAATTACTCAAGAAGATAACCTATAATATATATTCACAAAGTATTAGGGGAAACAAGAACTAAGGCAAAGTGAAGAAGAAAGAGGAGAACTAAAGAGAGAAAACTGATGAGTTTCACAAATACAAGCCAGTAAATCTGGCTGACTCCATCTTGCATTATCTTTACAATGTCCTTTCCAATTGGGATCACAAAAGATACAGTATTGGATCCTCTGCAAAACAAGTTTCCTTCTGCCGTAGACTGCAATTCCTGTTCTCTTCTAGAGCCAGAATGAACAGCTGCACACTAAAAATTTGGAAATCAAACTACAATATTTGATTTCAAACTATAATTAGCCCATTTTGTGTTTACTATACTGCACTATGATTCATTTTTATTGCTTCCTTAGCTGGTTCTCCTCAGTTATTTGAAGTGCTTTCCATATACATCTAAATGGGTCAAAAAAACTCTTGACAACGTGTCTGTCTATTCATACAACATAATAGCGCTTTCTGTAGCATAATGTTCTGCTGCATTGCAGTCTCCCAAATCATACCAGAAAAAAAAATTTGTGTTCTCCACTAAAAGCTGTGTAGAAACTGGCAATCACAGAAATCACAGGTTTTTTTACTATTCTCCACAGCTATAGATCAATGCCTGTATTTCTATAGGCAACAATTTCTACTTTCATAAAGAAAAAAGAAACAGGAATAACATTTGGAAAAAGTCCCACGGGAATTCCCACCTGTTATCAATGTAATTGGCATGAAGTAGCCTCTGAACAAATATAGTTACAGAACCATTTAATCTCGCAATGCTAAAAATAAACAGGGGATATTAAAAGCAAGTTTGAAAAGGATCACTTGTGGTAAGTTGCCCAACTCATTGACTTAATGATAGCACATGAAAGGATAAAACATAGCCAGCCAACAAAAGGAAAATAAAAGCTACAGCAAATAACTCTGAAGCAAGTTCTCCTGTGCAGCAGGAAGTCTATAATGGAATACTGATATCAGAAACCTTGATGAAAATACACATGCAAAGAACACCAAACAGGAAGCTAAGGGAAACTGGGACACTACAGCATGGAACAGCATTACAAAATGCATTTCCATTTCTCCATAGTTTCTCCAAAATACAGCCAGAATTGTCAGATAAAGAGTACGACTGTGAGCCAAGAGTGCAGCAGCCAGCATTCACTGATGGGCACGTGCTACATGCCCCTCTGCAGTATCTCATAGATTAGCACTGCCTCCAATACAAATGACTACGATGAAGCCTGAGATAAAGAGAAGCACCTCTTCATGCAACTACTGCATCAGTTTACAAAACGTCTTATCCTTTCACTTTGCCTTTTGTCTTAAACAGTGGTCTTATAACTGCTGTGGGCCTTTCCCCAGAAGAGGGGAACACAGGATACTGAGTATAAGTGCATTGGAAGTACTTAGAAATGCCAGTTCTCATGTGACATAGGAACATTTTTAATACATGCTCTAAAGCCCTTTAGCCTTTTTATTATTTTATTTTAAATAAACTAAATGCTACTTAATTTAAGAATTAAAATAGGGATAGGTGTGTATTGGAATGAGGATTGATCCAGCACACCATAGTAAATAAACATGACATGCAAAACACTGCAAGTTCCTAGAGTTTATATTTTGATCAATGAGATGATGCTACTAACAGGTGGAGAAAATCCTTCTGGACAAAGGAAAACTCACTTTATTTGCATATCTGATAAAAGTCCTCCCGATTAGGAACATGAAGACATGGAGGTTTGTCTTTCTGCAAAAATATCTGCTGTCCTGGGGACAATTTTTCCTCTGAGATTCAAACAAATCTCACTGATTTCAGTTTTTGGAAGATGCCTGAATTAATTTTTTTAACCTGACATGCCAACAGAGTAGAGGACAGTTTATTTCAATTGCAAAGAACTGTATAAATTGTCATATCTTTATACTACTGGCTATTTTGCATGGCATATTTTGGATGCCATGCAATTTTCATTATCATTTATGAATACTGAATTGCTCTTGCAACTATAGAATATGATTCTACTATAGCAACTTTTAACTATCAGAAATTGCAGGGAAAATGAGAGTAACTAGAACTTAATTGTAAAACAAGAATATTCTATGTTATACTGACTGGTAAATTACATCAAGAAATAACACAAAGAGAAAAAGCATTCTAAACCAGGTAATTTTCATTGTAACTAAAGCTACATGGGACAAGGGCAGTCTAACAAAATGACATTTATTACTCATCTCTAATGCTTTTATTTCAGTAATAAAGTCATAGTACTAGCATAAACACTAAAGGTACTGTACTGCTATTACTGCAGAATAAATACCATGCCAAGTTATCTGCCAGTAGAGATTTAAACAAGTCTGTTTGAAGCACATAAAATGGTGATCACTGTATTTCTCTTCAAGTAAAGCCAAAGCAAGTGAACGAAAAACTGCAGTCAGCACAGGAAGCTGATTGCTTGACTAGAAAAATCATCATTTAACTAAACTAAAACAGCTACTCTGTATTTTACTGGAGTGTTTATCCTTGTCCCAGGGCCTAACAATGTTTTCTACCAACTGATTTAATACTGACATCCATTCATTTATCAGAGCCATTTTCATTGACTCACTAACTGATTCACTCCCTTGACAGGCCCTCTGGTTCCTATTCATCACAATCATCTTTGCCTTGCAATAGACTTAGACCTTTTCCAGCACCTGAGGGCAATCCATTCAGTCTAATGCAATCACCTGCCTGACATTCTGCCTCTTCACTATTCAGAAGAAGTGAAAGAACAAGACAAAACTCCCAAGTTGGCTACTAACTTTTTTTTTCATTATATGAAGGTGTAATAAACCTCCACGCCCTAACCAAGATTGAATAGATACAAAAGAACAGAGTTCAGTTACCTCTTTATGAAAAGGTTTACTCAGAAGTAAGTACAGCCCTCTCTAGATTAATATTTTTAGAACTACCTTGGTGCCACTCAGCTTCCAGATTGCTCATAATAAATCATAAGATAATACGTAAATGTGCCTGAGTGATCCATTTCTCAGTTTTTCCCCATCCCATTTTCAAATAAAACTATTAAGACCTGTCTTTTTTTTCTGTAGAAGAGACAGCAGAAGAAGTATTCAGTTCTTGACTTCCATTAATGTGGTGTTTCCCTTCCTCTTTTTAGTTTCTTATCTTCTGTGTCTTCTCAAACAGAATTTAATGGTCTATTTATATAATTATTACATATTTTGAGGGGTCCTGAGCGTCCTCTAAGCACATGGGATGGAGATTAAGTGGAGATAAAACAAGCTATTAGCTTTGCTACTCATCAAATTACTTTCACAGGTGACCATCAAAACTGATTGTTCAAGTGCAATAATGGATCATGCATGAGCTTAAATTAATTCAATACCTATTTTGTACTAGAACATCATGACAATAACCTTTACACAAGAGTGAAAGTGATGGGAGTTTGCAAATTAAAACTTTTTGTTTTCAATGTGCAGTAACACCAATAGTTTTTTCATTTACTTTTGAAACATTTGTTTTGTTGCTCTGACATGGGCAATGGGAAGATGACTTGGTAGTCATACTACACATTCCTAATTGCAAGTCTTCTGAGCATGCATTTCATCAGTACGTTGTAACAGAAATTGAGATGAGAGTTGAAGGTTAGAGAGAAATCCCTGAAATCTTCACAGATTTTGTAGCAATTCCTCTGTACTCCACAGGTAAGGGGTAAGACATCACCCCAGTCTTCCAAGATCTGGTTTTAATTAGTAAGTCAAGTCTAAGTTCTGTAGAAGATACACTGGAACTGCAAAATGTATTTCTGTGCTGATATGAACCTTGGTGACTCCAAATGCAGTCAATTTACATCAGTCAAACTGTGTTTTCCAATGACCCCATCCAATATTCAAACTCATCCTTCAGCTCAGAGTTAAACTAAGTTCTCTCCTCTTAGAGTATAATCACAAATAATCATAAGCCAAACAATATTTTTGGTAACAGCTGCAAAATTCTGTTGTCTTCTACCGAGTTTCACTAGTGCAATTCACTGGGACTCCTCAAACAGATTTACTGATCATGCAGAAAAGAAACAAAATCCACTACACTGACTAAAAGATGGTGTTCATAGAAGTAGTAAGTGTTTGTAAGCCAGCACAGCAAATACAACACACAAGCAATACATTTATTGAGT